TGCTGAGCAGGGGATCTTGCCTGAGGTTTTTTCACCTGTAAGCTGGCGTCCTCACCTGATTCAGATTCACCAGGTTCTCTCTCTCTCTCTCTCTCTTTATGCAAAGGAAAGGGGGGGGAAAGAAAAAATGTGGGTGGGGAATGGGAGAGAAATGCACCTTTTCATTAGAGGAGAAAAGCCGCTTGAGGCCAAAGGAAAAAAAACTTGTGGAAAACAATATGAGCGGGAAAAAGTTAAGTCCTGCCCAGGGATGAGAAAAGGGTCCCTTTTGGGGAATCACAGCTCCAAGAATGAAACAGCCAGAACGAGGCCTGAGCATTTTACTCTGGGCTTAACCTTCAGTCCCACGGCTTGCCTCCACAAGAGCAGATCCAGTGGCTTAAGGGCTGAACGGTGAGTCCGCATATAGGTAAATACCTCCGGATCAATGAGCCTACTTCAGTTGGAGGACTAACCAAGCTACCAAGCCCTCTCCGAAATGACTTTTCCCATCTCATCGTAGCCTTTCGCCCTTCGATTCTCTGTTGAAGGGCTCCGAATTTTAAACACAGATAAACAAAGGCGTGGAAGCTGGAGCTACGGCAGGCCTGGGGATAACTTACTGCATTCGGCTTCCAGGTCTCTTTCCTTTGCTTCAAAGAGCCTCGTGGTGCAATAGCTAAACAGCAGTCCTGCAGACAAAACTCTGCTCATGGCCAGGGTTCAATCCCAGGTACTATAGATGGCCCGAGGTTCACTCAGCCTTCCTTGACAAAACTGAGTACCTAACTCAGTTCGATTCCCCCATGGTGCCTCCTTAACAGGGGCTGGACTGGATGACCCAGAGGGTCCCTTCCAGCTCTGCAGTTCCACGATTAGTCTATGATTTACAGTTTAATTATGCAGGCTACGAACATGTTTGTTTTCCCCACAACACATGCATGCGAGTTGTGTTTAGTCGTTTAGTTGTGTTTAGTCTAAACGACTAAACACAACTCGCATGCATGTGTTGTGGGGAAAACAAACATGTTCGTAGCCTGCATAATTAAACTGTAAATCATAGACTAATCGTGGAACTGCAGAGCTGGAAGGGACCCTCTGGGTCATCCAGTCCAGCCCCTGTTAAGGAGGCACCATGGGGGAATCGAACTCCCGGACCGAAACCCCTGAGCTCTCCAACAGAGTATTGCCCAGAGTGTGCTTTAAGTGCTATATAAACAGCACACTTTTGCTTCCCTATAGTTAAAATGCTCCCCTTCCTTGAGACCAATGAGTTCAGTCCTGCCCTGGGGGTGTGTGGGGAGTTCTCTTCTAACCTCCCTCCGAAATCTAGTTGCCATTAAAGTTCTAAAAAATGACTGCTGCCTTTCTCAAAGTCTTTGGGCCTCTCTTTCATTGGCTCCTAGATGCCCCCAGAGGAGTCAAAGTCTCCCTGACTCCATCGGCAAAGAACCTCCTCGTGGGCGATGCAGCCTCTCTGACCTGCATCGTGAACAGCAGCTACCCAGTCCCCACGGCCTACCGGTGGTTCAAAGACGGTGTCGCTAGTGGAGGAGGGAGAGTGAAGACCTTCCAGGCGGTTGCCCGCAAGGATTATGGCCGGTACCGCTGTGAAGCAGTAAATTCTGTGGGCACTGGCGTGGCCGAAGGAGTAACACTCTTTGTTTTCTGTGAGTATCTGAAGCAGGGAAGTGATGCGGACGGTACAGACGTGGGCTCGGTGCTCATCTCTAAGGTCAGATTGTCACCTTTTTGTGTGCATGCCCACCGTGAGACTTAGCAACTCATGCTTGCCTCTTAAACAGGCTAGGGAAATTTTAACGGTGTCTGTGCCAATGGTACAGATAAAGTGGACTCTTAAAAGTCAGTCAGATATGCTGCAGGGCAAAGTCTCCTCGAAATTCTGTCCATCCGCCTTTCCCATTCACTGTCTGCTGTACAGTACCGAATGTCGTGAGTTCGTGATTTGTAAGGTTCGCCTCCGTTGTCCTTTGACCACAGGAGACGCCTGGCCGGTGTGTGACGGTGTGCTTATTTATTTGGGTTTCCCATTACCCTGATCATGAGGCCTCTCCAAGGTGACCATTCTAAACCAATTAACCAAAAGACAGACCTACTCAATGCTTCAATTTTAAGTCAGACATTAAGCTAAACACAGTGTCTTGTTTGTTTTACTCTGGATTAGACACACATGCCCATGGATTTTTTTTTTAACCTAGTAACTCCTTGGCAAAATTTAGAGGTACCCCCATTTTTTTAGGATAAGTTGTGTTAATGCAAAATCAGCTCTATTCTTAATAGAATGCAACCCAATCACATCTGGATTCCCTGCCCCCTTCTCTCTGTCCTTCTCAGTCTCCTCACTTCTCTCCTTCTGGATGAACGCACCCACTTCTTTCCCCCCACCACAAACACACACTCTGAGGCCACATCTGGGGAGGGACAAGGCAGAGAGGAAATTCACCGGGGCCTCCCATGAAACGTAGCCCTGCAGGAGTGGCAGTTGGAAATCTGGCCTCACAGTTAACACTCTGTTGGGGTTGTCGTTCAGCAACCTCTGGAGGTTGGCCCCACCTTGCCCCTCCCTGATTTAGAGGGGAAGAAACTGCCCGGGCTCTTTGGTGGTTGGCTGGTCCTCTCAGAGGGAGAAACAGGGAGAACCGCTGGGCCCTCGGAGGGCTTCTGTGTCCTTTGACTGGAGGGAGGGAGCCTGACCTGACCACTTCTTCCCTGCTCGGTCCTCCCAGCTGCTGAGCTGTCCATCAGCCCCTCTTCTAGCATACGGGAAGGTGAGACGGTTACGCTGACCTGTGACGTTCCTGGGGGAGACAAGCAAGCGATCCACTACAGCTGGTACAAGAACAACATCTGGATGAAGGAAGGCGCTTCCCAGAGCCTGGTCTTCCAGGAGGTTGCAGTCGGAGACACCGGCTACTACACCTGCAAAGTGCAGAACGAACAAGGGAGCGAGATGTCCCAAGCCGTTAGGCTCGACGTCTTGTGTGAGTTTTCAGATACCCCTTTTCACGCTTTATGTTTGGAGCCCGTTCTGAAGGGATAACCCCAACGGGGAATGGCTGCCGCCTCCTTGGACTTGGTGCCTTCCCAGTGGCTGGAGGGATTGCTCCCATCGTTGGTGGCAACAGGGTCGTTGTTTGCCTCATCGCTGGCCTCTTTCCTGAGCTGTCCCTCCTCTGACATGATGGTCACCCATTCCCTGTTCTTCAGCGTTGGCCCTGAAATCTTGGGGAATGGACTGAGCGGGCAACCCTCAATTCAGGAGCGTGGCATGGGGTGGTTTGGTCAGGAGCTGAGCTCAGAAGAGATGGCACTCATTCTATGACCGGCTGATGGATTAAGAAAAGAGGCTGGTGTTCTTCTTAATTACAGGCTGGAAAGGGAGGGCGCAGTTTACCCACACACACACACCACTTCAGCCCAAAAGGGAGCGTCATGTCAACAGAGTTAGAAGCCCTTAAACGGGAGGAAGCCTCTACTCTCTGCAGCAGAAAGGAAAAAAGCTGTTGGCTCCAGACTATCATGATGGATGAGGGCCCGTTTTAAATTACATTCACCAGAGAATTACAAATGAGAGCAGGGATTTATTAACTTTGGTTTGAAAGAGAAGGATGACAGGCAAGGCTGCATCTGAGCACACACAGGAAAGCACACACACACACACACATACACAGAGAGAGAGAGAGACAAACTGGAAGACTCACATGGTTGAATTTCAGGCTTTCCTACAAAGCTGATGTTGAGACATCCGTCATGTCCTTACAATGTATTCGTAGTCACCTGTGCTGCTTTGCAGAGATTGGAAGGGTTTCTTGGCCAGACTAAAAGTCAGTTACAGCCATGCTGGCTGAGGGATTCTGGGAGTTGTAGTCCAAAAGGAACACTTTCCAGCTCTGTCAATGGGTTTTTTAGATGCTTCCTCATCTGTGGACTTACAACTGGCTTCTCTCGCGAGTGACTTCCAAGTGCGTTGGACTACAACCTCCATGGTCTCTGGCCGGTAGGGTCCCAGATGATGGCAGTTGTACTCCAACGCCTTTGGACATTTGGAGGACCCTTCTCTTAAGGCATGTATGCCATGATCTGTTTGCCTCACACAGATCCCCCCAGGTCACCTTCACTCACCTTATTCCAGGAGACCCAGGAAGGTCAACTGGCCATCATCCATTGCACTGCAGACAGCAACCCTCAGTCCACCCTGAGTCTTTATCGGGAGAATCAACTCATTGCAACCACCAGCTTGCACTCAGCTCCCAATCAGCGGATCAGCATAACAACGACCCGCAACTCTTTGAAACTAGAGATCCGGAAGGTCATCCCAGAGGACAAGGGGAACTACCAGTGCACAGCAACAAACACTTATGGGAGTGTGAACACCACCCGCTTCTTTGGTGCTCAAAGTAAGTCTGCAGTTCTGCAATACACGAGGCTGCTTTTGACTCATCCAGAAGGAGCGCATAAGCTCCCCCGCAGGCACCCTACTGTGTGCAGGGGGTAGCCGTCTTTTTTCTGCGCACTGTGCCTTTGCACATGTGTACGAGCGCAGGGGGTGCCCCACCCCCATGCGCAGGAGGTGCCCCACCCCCATGCATTGACCCCAGTTCCCCCCCCAACCGGTCCACAGTCTCAGAAAGGTTGGGGACCACTGGTCTAAAGGATTCGTATCAGTACCAAGAGAGACAAAGAGGAACCAAAAGTCTGGGCTGGCCCCTCGCCGTCTTTCCTCCTTTTCGAATGTTTTTAGAAAGCCTTCTGCGATTTGTAGTCCAAAGAAACCACTTCTCCAAGCTCTGGGTGGCAAGACCTTTTTGCACACTTATCACAGGGAGGGAGCCTCTTGTAAATCTCCACTGTATTAGGGCACCTCGTTCACAATCAACGCTGACCCTCTCCTGTCTTCTTCTCCCCACATCCGTCTTCCAGCGGCCAGAGTGGTGGTCCAGCCTGCCAAGGAACTGCCCGAAGGCGACCGAGTCGCCCTGACCTGCACGGCCACCTTGGAGCCTGGAGAAGAGACCACTTACACCTGGTACAAAAATGGCAAGTGGCTCCGGGAGGGAAAGGAGAGCTCCCTGGTCTTCTCAGCCGTGACCAGCGATGACGCTGGGGCTTTCCACTGCGTGGCTCAGAACAAGAAAGGCAGAAATACGTCCCCGGCGGTTGCTCTCCGTGTGCTGTGTAGGTCGCCTTCCACCTTGCCTCTCCTACAATCCCAGGCGATGGGAGGAAGGGCTTGGGACATGCTTGTGCTCAGCCTTCCTCTTCCATGGTGGTGATCTCAAGGGGAGGGGGCCCGAGGAAAAAGAGGCATCAGCCCTTCATCTCCGGGGGAGCATCCATAGTTGGGGGGGGGAAGGTTCTGTCATGGAAAAGCTCGGGTTCATGCTCCCACCCACCCAAACCACTTGGGATTTTGGGACTTCCGAGAGACCCTCCAGAGCAGAGGAGGCTGGCGATGCCAGCTTCACAAGGCAGTGCCACCACTCCGGGTTTTCATCCAAATTTTAACCAAGTGGCCAAAAAAAGGGGGGAGGGGTTTGGTACACTGGACAACACTTTTAAAGTTCAGATCAGGATTCAGAGGACTTTCCGATACTGATGCAGAGGTATTTCCTCTCTTGCTGTGACCACTGAGAAGGACTTCGAATTCACCCGTGCTAATTGTGGAGCGAATCCCGAAGTATTTGTTAATGTAGTCACAGCCAGTAGTCACTTGTTTCATTTCACAAAAAGACACAAAAAGATGTTATGGTAACATATTGTGCTGAAGCGTGATGTTTGGGGACAGTGGAACCCCCCCACAATCTTTGTCCCTAGTCGTCCCAAAGTATTATTTATTTATTTTTTTAAAAACCTAGTGAATTTAGTGCTAGGTCACGTTTGCACTGCGTTGGCATATTACTGTATTTTTCAGCGTATAAGACTATACTTTTGTCTAAACTCTTTAGACTAAAAATTGAGGGTCGTCTTATACACGGAAGTAAACGGAGGATCAAAAACAAGTGGAGGGAAAGCAGGGATCAAAGTGATCCTGTAGGGCTTTGATCCCTGCTTTCCCCTCCACTTCCTAAGCCCCACTTTGATTTTTTAAAAATTTGGGGTTAGAAAGGTGGGGGGTGTCTTATACATGTAGCGTCTTATACACGGAAAAATTCAGTAGTTTGGTTTACTGGATTTAGTGGTAGATTGCCTGTAAGATAAGAAAGGAGAGTGGAAGTCCCCAGGTGGCGGGTATTTGATGTCTCCCCACAGCCCGTGGGGCAGCCATGAGCTGTGAGGATGGATCGAACCCCATCAGATTGAGAGCCAGTGTGGACCCTGGCGCTGAAAGCCTCCGGGGACTTTGTGTGTTCGCCTAAGTGGGATATACAGTCATAAAGAGATGGAGACTCAAGCTTTGAGAGTAGTCTCAGCTGGAGGATTTTTAAGGGATAATAACGCAAGTTTTTTTAAAAAGAAAACCAGTTTTCCACACTAATGTCTCCTTTTCCTCTGAAGATTCCCCGAGAGAGCCTGTGATGAATTCTCTCCTGGAGACCCAAGGGGGACATCTTGCCATCATCGGGTGCACGGTAGACAGTGACCCACCCTCTGAGGTCGCTTTATACAAAGGGGATCTTCTCTTGGGTTCCACCAGCACTGCCCGCTCAGCAACTGACCAGAGGATGACCCTGACCCCGTCCTACAACGGGTTGAAGGTGACCATCCAGAACGTGACCTTGGAGGATGAAGGCGAGTATGTCTGTTCTGCTCAGAACCACTACGGGGAGTCCACAGCCTCCATGGATTTCACTGCAGAGAGTAAGTCATCGAAGGAGACTCCTTCACACTCTCACGGGGAATCCACCCGACCCGTGGACAGCAGAGTCTCATACCGTGGCCGTTGTCGTGGCTTCTTTAGACTGAACCCTGGGGTTTGTAGTGAGATGAGATCCTTAAAACGAATCGCTAACTGCACTCTCGTGCCCTTCCCTGAACCACAGCAGAGGATTCTAAGGATCCCACCCATCTACAGGTCCCACGTGTCAGATGGAGCCACGGTCGTTCTAAAAGGAACCAAATATGTACCGTCAACAGACTATTACGGGGCGAACTTTGTAGGCATAAATGGGGATATGAACAGAGAGGATGGAAGTCAGTGTGTGTGTGTGTGTGTGTGTGTGTGTGTGACTGCAAGGCAGGGCTGTTTATTTTCCTAACACTCATCAAGAGATTCACCTCTAGATTTGATGCCGGCTGTTTTTTGGGGGGGGGCAAGCCCCATTTGCTGCATTCTAGTTACAGCCCCATAGCACAATCTCAATCGCATCTCTTAATGTTGCTTTGTTATTGAGTTGCAGTTGGGGGAGGGAGGGGTTATGGGGAAATGTTCTCTGGTGCCCTCTAGTAGTGGCCAGGTCCAAAACCTTTGAAAGAAACACGGCTCGTTAAAATAATCATGTGCCATCAATTAATCCTGACTTACGCCAACCCTTTTTCAGGGTTTTCAAGGTAGAGAATACACAGAAGAGGTTTCCCCTTCCCTTCCTCTAGGGGGCGCCCTGGGACTGTGTGCAGCTGGCCCAAGGCCACCCAAGCTGGCTCTACTCACAGGGAGGCCCCATGAGGGGATTCAAACTCCCAACCTCTGGCTCCACCACTGAGATATCCAGACAGCCAGTATTGTAACTTGGTTCCTGTCAATTACTTTACCCAAAAGTAATTAGTTACAGGTGACTTTATTTGATTTACTATTGTAGGTGTTTAGACTGTTTGTAATATTCTTATGTTGTATTGTATACATTTCTGTTGGAACCCGCCCAGAGTGGTCGACCAGACCAGATGGGCGGGATATAAATCAAATGAAAGAAAGAAAGAAAGAAAGAAAGAAAGAAAGAAAGAAAGAAAGAAAGAAAGAAAGAAAGAAAGAAAGAAAGAAAGAAAGAAAGAAAGAAAGAAAGAAAGAAAGAAAGAAAGACTTTGTTGCTTGCAAATTACTTCTTCCAAGCTCTTGACAAGCCGGCTGAATATACAGATGGTGGGGAGGGTGTGGTGGTGGGCACAGTGGTGGCAAGAGAGAGAGTACATTTCAACACTTTAGGAAGCCAGATTACGAATTTCAAACATCCTTTCCAAGATTTCTATTGTGACATGAAAGAGCGATCCAGTCCTCTAACAAAGCATAGCTTTTCCAAGCCCTGGTGTCTGGGGATGGATGGTAAATCTTTCTCTTATCGTCCACTTGGATTGGACTAAGATGTACCAGGGTGCATCTGCTTACCCGTCCTGAGAGATCACTCTGGCCTCCCAGCAAATATTCATTGAATGTCCACTGTTGCAGTCATCATAAGGGCCTGCATGTTTTACACTTATATTCCCCACGCTGCCAACTCAGAGAACACCTCAAAGCATCGGACGACACAGACTGAAGACTCTGAAAAGTTTATGTCAGATAAACTGGTTGGGCCTTGAAGTGTCACCGAACCCTCTGCAGTCTTTTGCTCTGAGCCACTCTCTGATTTTGCTAACATGGGGGATCTTGCTAATATGGGTAAAGGACAGATTCGCTCCAGCTGTTCACTAGCTGGAGGCAGGAATAAACAGGACTGCTGACGGACGGTGGCAGTGGAACCTCGTCCTAAAACAATTGTGGTTAAACATGACTTTTGGGACTTGCTTTGTTCTGCTCTTTTGCTCCTTCTTCTTCTCTGACCAATTTTGGCATCTTTCTTCTCTCCCATCCACCCTGTCCTTCAGCTGCAAAAGTCACCATCACTCCCTCTTCGGAGGTGCTTGAAGGGGTGGCGGTCCGTCTGTCCTGTGCCGTGAGCAGCATCCCCTCCACCTTGGCCAACATCACCTGGTTCAAGGGGGGTCGCTCTCTCTCCATGGAGGACCACAGGGAGGTCCTGGAGTTCGAGCAAGTGGCCAGAGGAGACGCCGGGATCTACAGCTGCCGAGTGGAGACTTTGAGAGCCAGCAAAAGTTCCAACTTGGTTGCCCTTTCTGTGCTGTGTAAGCACCCCTGGCTTTCCCCCCCTTTGTTCCCAATGCTCTCACGCGAGACCCTTGGTCTAGGTACAACTTTGGGTCCCCAGATGTTCTTGGACCTTTGTTCCCAATGCTCTCACGCAAGACCCTTGGTCTAGGTACAACTTTGGGTACCCACATGTTCTTGGACTAAAACTCCCAGAAGCCTTCAACACGAGCTGTACCAGCTGAGATTTCTGGGAGCTGCAGTCCAAGGACACATCTGCGTGACCCAAGGTTGGGAAACACTCTAGAATGATTCGGGTTGATTGATTTTATTGTTTTGATACACATATAGCAATACATAGGAGGGGCAACCCCACACTTGGAGAAATCACTTGTCTTGGACCAGCCCCCAGAATCCCCCCACTTCTGTGGTCCTGAAAAGGTGAAATCCAGCACTCCTTTCTAATTGGAAGATTTCAGTAGCCACTCTGGCTACTCCGAAGACTCACTCTGAAAAATAGCAGCCGGTGGAGTTCTTCATCTATTGAGCAGTCCTGCTCCTTCACCTCGGCTGGGGGCAACTCAGATAGAGGCCATCAAGGAATCCTAGGAGTTGGGGGGCCAAAGGTGTGACCCAAACGAAGCCTAACAAGGCACCCCATGGGGTGGTTGAGGTCTCTGCCCCATTGCCTGACATACAGGGAGGGTCTGAAGGAGGAATGCTGAAAGCCGACCCTTCCGGTCCCTCATCTCTCTCCCTGACGTGCCGTCCGGCCGTCCATACCCTCCCCTCCCAGGACAGGTCTGGCCTCTCTGGGTGTCTGCGAAGTCCCTCTCTCTAGCAAGACACCCAGAGGCCATCCAAACCTTTCATACCATCCATGGCTCAAAGCAGAGGGTGGGGTTTTCCCCACCCTCATCATAACCACTGCTCCTGTAAGTGGTGACTGATGGCTGATGCTCAAAGTACCTGCTTTCACTGAGCCTTGTCCGTTGCAGTTCCGGTGAGCTTTGTTTTGCGATGGGTTGTTAGAAGGGAAGCCCAGGCAGGATCTGTAAGTCCCCGAAGGCTTCTACGCATAGCGATCTGGAGTGTTGCCATCCGGATGTTTATGGCATTGCTCTCCACAGCCATCTGTTTGCACCAGAGGATCCAGTTCCTTAGTTATTATACTCCTGAGTCTAAGATTGCATGGGGAGGTCTTACTGAAATCCGCCCATGGACCATTTCTGCCCCAGAGGATGGCAGGCTGGGGTCTTGCCTTTCAAAGGCATGTCTCCCTTGTGTTGCCTCCCCACAACAAGAAGACAAAACAGTATTGCATGTGTGTGTGTGTGTGTGTGTGTGTGTGTGTGTGTGTGTGTGTCTGTGGACCTGCATTGCATTCCTTGCTATTTCAGACCCCCCTGGGACTCCTCAGGTGACCGTCTTTGTGGAGACCGAGCGAGGCAGGCTGGCCCTCTTCCAGTGTTCGGTGGACAGCAACCCAGCCGCTAAACTGGTTCTGCGCAGAGGAGAGGACCTCATTGCCTCCAGTGGCTCCGAGAACAGCGTCGCCTCCCAGAGGATCCGCGTTCAGCAGGCCCGCAATTCCCTCCAGGTGGAGATGAAGGATCTGGACCCCCAGGATGAAGGCCGCTATAACCTCACGGCTATCAATGCCTACGGCTCCTCCTCCACCTTGTTGTACCTCCGTGTGCAAAGTAAGTGCAAAGGGGGATCGACAGCCCTCCCCAGTCTGTCTTGAGGAAGATCTTCTACCCTTGATATCCCACCCAGTTGAAAACTCTCTGTTGATCGATCCAGAATATGGAAACATTATTTTTCTCCCCTTTTTCTTTCCCCTGCTACAACTTCTAGGAACCTCTCAGTAGCCATTGTCACTTGGCCCTGCCCTGCAGGCTAGGGGGATGATCTGTGGTGAAGTGGTCATGGAAAAGGTGCTTCTGTCCACTTTGAATGAAATGTTCTGGGACTGTCCTCCCTCCCACACCTCAGAATTATTAGAAATAGACGATGGTCCACAGGAGTGGAAAATGTGGCTCTCCTTGCTTATCAGGGGGGAAAAGGTGTGAACGTTTTAACATACTTTTATTGTTCCCTGTAAATAAGAAGCAGCTATTCATGGGCCACAAGTGGCTTCTTAATTAATTCACAATTAATAGATGGTGATAGCAGGTTAGCCAGAAAGCAGTGTTGAGACTGGAGCTAGGATACGTGGCAAGGCTGAATATAATCATATTTCTTGAACTCCTCAAATATTCCACTGTCCTGCCATTCAGCTCTTGATAAACAAAGTTCCTTGGGCCTCCTCAGCATCGTGGTTTTCCTGAAAAATGGCATGGGATCTTTTTTTGTTCAATATGTTATATTTGCTGTGATTAAAAAAATCATAATAGCCCAGTGATGAAATGCAAGAAACTGGCTGGGACTGTTCAAGGCCGCCTCCAGATGGGGCAAAATTTCCACTCTGGCTACAAATAAGCACAGGGGTTGTCAGGATCCGAATTGCACCATTAAGGGCCAGTTTTCTGAGTGGCAGAGGGAAACATGAGTGTTGGCAACTCATCGGGTGGCAGTGACTGAGAACATCTACCTTGTAGGTGTGGTTCTGTGCAACAAAACACCACTTTGAAGGGCTGAAATGTCCCAGGAACACAGCATTCAACCCTGTTCTCACATTTTCATAAGAACCGAAGATGAGCCCTGTGCTGGATCAGGCCAAGGGCCCATCTAGTTCAGCTTCCTGTATCTCACAGGGGCCCCACCAGATGCCCTCTGGGAGCCCCTGAGACCACTAGATATAACTGTCCCCTGATCCCCCTCTTCCCCTGCATCTGGCATTTGGAGGGACGTTCCTTCGAAGCCTGGAGATTATAGACATCCCCATCATGGCTTGTCACCTGTAATGGGACTTTTCCTCCAAGGATCTGTCCTATTCCCTTTTCAAGGCTTCTAGGCCAGGTACCATCACTACATCCTGTGGCAAGGTGTTCCACAGACTCACAACATGCTGGGTCAAGAAATCTTTTCTTTGGTCTGTTCTCATTTTCCCAACCCTCCGTTGGAGTGGATGTCCCCTGGTTCTGGTCTTGCGTGAGAGGGGAGATTACTTTCCTCTCTCCACTTCATATCCATCCCCTGCATAATTTTATTTTCCTGTGATTTCCACCTGGGTTCCAGCGGCCCGGGTTCTGGTGACCCCATTCCCGGAGGTGCTGGAAGGGAGCGCCGTCAACCTCACCTGTGACGTGGTGGGAAGCTCCCCCAGTGGGACCACGTTTTCTTGGTACAAGAACAGCCGGCGCCTTCAGGAGAAAAACAGCGATGCTCTCGCCTTCCCACGGATCACCAGTGAGGACGCCGGCTCCTACCACTGCAAGGCCCACGGGCCAGAGGAGGGGGCCGTCAGCATCTCCCCGCCGGTCAGCATCACAGTCTTCTGTAAGTCTGTTAAGTCACACGGATGCCTGTAGCCAGACGTGGTTTCTTTGTTGTCCTCTTCAGACCAAGCTTAGACTGGAAGACTTTCCTCTTTTTTTGGGGGGGGGGAACTAAACTCCCAGAATCCCCTGGCCAGTTTGGCTGGGGGACACAGAGGGAGGAACAGAGTCCCAAAAAAGATTTTTCTCTAAGGTCACGATGGAGCAGTTGCTCCTCAGCCCTGATTTTTAAAAATATGTTATTGTAAAGACGGGCATAAGAAAACTTTTTAAAGAATTCGTAGAGTGCATGAAAGCTTAATTTATAAAAAAAAATTGCCTTAGGCTGAGGGGAAGCCTCCCCAGTGAGGGAAGGCCTCAGGGCCAAATGGCCCTGCTCCTTTACTCATAGGATCTGCTGACCACAACATCTGAAGAGCCCCATGTCGCCTGGCTCCTCCATGACAACTCAAGGAGGCCATCAAGGTTCCCGGGCTGTGAGCCTTGCCCTCTCCCACATTTCCTTGCACAACCTCTGGCCTGAGGAAAAGGCCAGTGACCTGGAACACCTGTGTGAACATTTGCCCTTTTTGGGACCCCATCAAATCTCGGGGAACGCTTTTCTGCTGTTCCTCCAGCTGCGTGCAGGTGGCGCTCTTGCTTTAGGTACCAGCTCCGTAAAGGGATGCTCTGGTTGAAAGGCACAGCTAGGAAAAGCTCCCCCTCCTGCCTTCAAATGGGAGGGGAAATGCTCTGGGCACCTGCCTCTTTCTCTCTCCCTCTCTCTCTCTCTCTCCCTCTGTGTGTGTGTGTGTGTGTGTTGAAATTGGTGGCCTCTTAGGATAATAAAATGCAACAATAAAATCATTAAACGCAACCTGGACACTGAGAACATTTAAGAAACTAAGCTTGGAAGTCACGGTAGAATGAATAGCAAACCTTTATGCAAGGAAGAGAAAAACGAAGATCTTGCCCTCTCACGTTGATGCCCTTGGGGGCTCCAGCTTATAGGAATATGAACCTGCCCTCCTGTTTCTCAGGATGAGAAACCAAGAAAAGTATCCCTTCTTTTTCCCTCACAGTGAAATTTACCTCTGTGACCTCCTTCCTTCTATCCATCATGAGAACCAACCGGCCTGCCTGCCTGCCT